CTTTAAATATTGTTATTTCAAGTCTGAAACTTTGGCATGCATAAACATTTTTAAAGTTAATTATGCTCACTATGTGGCATGCAAACTCAATAAGGTTTGTCATCCCTGCCTATCCCATCATATACCTTGTCTGTGGGACAACAGTTGCTGCCATGTGTTTGTAATTGCAGGGCTGTTAATTAAGTGGGGAAGCTGGGGATTTTTACTCAGGTCAACAGAAGACTTAGAAAACTGTTAATGGTTTTTATTATTCCTATAAAATTAATATTTTTACTAACATAAAATAAAATCGTTAAGACTACTACTTTTAATAAATATTCTATGTATTTCATTTGTTCAAAGAAAAAAAAAAAAAAAGCTAAAGCTTGTAGTGTTTTCCACTAAATGTTTGTATGTTATCATTAAATATATATGTATCTATATACTGTATTTTGTCGCGCATTGGTAATTGTAGACTGTTTCCGTAAAGTTCGTACCACTTCTTGAGGTGTAGTAGTGCGAGCCTGTGATTGGCTCCCCTGCCATGACGTATGTTCCCTCGTCAGGACATGGCGCGGGTTATAAAAAGGAAAGACCACGTGCTTAGAGGACTTTTTTCTTCGTTTCACCTGGGTTCGTGTCGGGTCGTTGGCAGAGGAAGGAAGGTGAAGAACAAAGAAGAAAGGACCACGTGGAAGGAGGACAATCGTGTACTAAAGGAGAGACTTTCAGCATGTATCAAGATCATCTGCCATGTAAGAACAGTCCAATTATCAAGTTATAAAGAACTAAGCCTAATTGTCGCGTCGGGCAATTTATGTGTGATTGCAGCGATTCCTAATTGTCGCGTCGGGATTTTATGTTAGATAACTCCGTCGTATTCTTGTGTCCGGATCAAAGGGGTGACGAGAGCCCCCTCGCGAAACAAAAATCGTGTGTGAACCTCAGATGTGTATGTTCGTGAAATTAAATATGTTCAGTGTTTTGTCAATTTGTGCTGTCTTTTCTATTCTTAATCTCCACGCTAACGTATTTCGGTACGCTACGGTACTACAAGCTCTATTTTGGGCCGTATACAAGCTCTTAACAACCATTGTAATTGCAATTTAAAATTGACATATAACACATACATCTTTCAAACTTTTTAAAATACATAATCCATGTGTTATACACAAAAATATGAGTAGAATTTGGTTATTATTACTTTCAAATTATAAGCCCTCTTTTAAGCATTAAATTTAAATTTAATGCTTAAAAGCAGCAATTTAAATTTAAATTGTTTTAATCATTATTTACTTGCAATTACAATAATTTAAATTGCAAGCATATACTAGCTATTGTTGAAGTTGGTAGCAGATAAACAATACTAGATGAATATATAAATTAATAATAATGATCGTTACAATTAAAGAATCTTGAAGTTTTACATTTTTTAATTGTTTTTACATGTCTGTTTAATATTAATGTCAATGAAACCAGATTTCTTCTAATTGCAATCTTATTTACTTGCTTTGCTTAATGTTATCAGTTTATAATATTAAATCTGAATTCCATTTATTCCAAATAATTTTCTCCACTACTATTTTTTTTTATTATTAATTGTAATTATTATTATTTTTAAACTAGCAGTCTTTGAAGACATTTAGTTTCGTCTTTCATCAGCTCCATAATATTATAGAAATNTTTTTTTTTATTATTAATTGTAATTATTATTATTTTTAAACTAGCAGTCTTTGAAGACATTTAGTTTCGTCTTTCATCAGCTCCATAATATTATAGAAATTAAACAAGTTCAACTATTAATAATTTAAGGAGTCACATTGTTTTTATTTTGATAAATCAATTAGATTTGTTAAATTATTAGGGGTTGGATTTATTTAATTTGAAGGTATCATTTTACAAATGCTTGACTGATAATGATTAATTAATTCTTGAAAATTGATAACCACATCAATTAAAATACAGTATGTACTTTCTTATTAAAATCCTATTGATAAAGAAACTTAAATTAATTTGTTAAAATGATGTTGTAAGGTAATTACTCCTACTTTTAAAATTTATTTTAAATTTCAAATTAACATAAAATGATAATTTTGTTAAATTGTATGAAGGCTCATAAGAGATCTAATTTTTGTAAATATTTATTATCATCATTAATATTGGTTGAAGGTTGTTTGTTGTTCTGACATCCTCCCACTTCAAAGATCTTTAATAACAGATGTCGGCATTGGTCCTCTTTCATCTTCCCCTAGAAAACATCTCACTGAATTTCTTGGTGTTCTTCATTTAAGAGTTCTTGGAGTTCTGTCATATCAGTTTCCATTATGAGCTCTTCAATGCTCTTTATTTCTCAGATGTGATTTTTCATTACTCTTTTAGATGCTTGAGTCTTCTTGATATATCTTTTTTAGCTAAAATTGTGCCTACTGTAGACCTGTTCAAGCCATACTGTCTAGCAACATCAGTCATCTGTCACTCTTTACCTTGGCTATTAATGAATATCCAATGGGACATCAAACTCTTGCCCTTCATAAATAAAAACCAATGCAAAACTTAACCTGCCCTAGTCTTGTGAAGACTATAAAAAATTATTTGTCAGAAACATAAACTAAAGGCTGAAATTACAAGGGGGAGTTTCAAAATTCGGAGGAATACTATCTGATCGGTATTGGGTTGAGTGTTGATGTCGTCTTTAGAGCTCCAAAAGATTTCGATTTGTCACCTAGAGACAAGGGAAGAAAAATCGGTATTCACTATTTTACATAGCTTCTTTTTGTGTCTGTTCTGTGAAGTGTCTGAACATAAAAATCTTTTGCGAAAGTGTTTGTTATCCAATCACCCACTGTATGTGCAATTTAGGGTTGTCTTTTAATGCACAATATTGTGTTAATGAGACCACATCATATTTTTCTCTTTCCATTATTACAAGTTGTTTTGTTTTATTGTTCCATTTAACATCTCTTTTCTTAATGTTACATGTGCTTTGAACATAACATAAAACTGTAGGACAGATAGGGCCAGCTGAGGTGTAAACCTTTTGGTTAGTTTTGTTCACCTCAGTTTACAGTGGTACCTCAGGATATGAAATTAATCCGTTCCAAAACTGAGATTGTATCATGAAAATGTCGTAAGGTGAATCATTTTTTCCCATATGATTACATGTAAAACCAAATAATTCGTTCCAACACGAAAAAAACACTCAAATTAAAGCTAAGTAGTACATTAAAAAAATAACTATAGTAAGGAAAACACTGAAAAATGCATTCTGTAGTTGTAAGTGTATAAATAACCATAATAGAATAATAATTGATAAAAAAAAATGTAGTTTTATTTGCACTTTACCTTTGAGGATAGACGGTGGAGATGTAAACTGGTGGCGGAGGAGAGGGAGAAGGGAAATGATACTTAAACTTAACTTACATAACATAATGTAACAATAACTTAAAAATAACTTAGAAAAGATAAAAAAAATTAGTGTTGTTTTATATATTATTTTAAAAATTTTATTCCTGCTTTTTGCTTTTTTTCCTTCACTTCTCCCAGCACTTTCACTGGATAGAGGTCGCTTGGTAAAATATCTATCCAAAGAGGTTTGGCTTTGCCTACTTTTTAAAATGTTTCTAAAATGACTTAGGCAAATGTCATTATTCTGAGCAACAATATGGCCAGTGTGAACCTTTTCGGGATGTTTCTTTTCAATAAAATCAGTCACTTTCTGATAATACCTCAAGATTTCCTTTATTGAGCGAGATCCTTCCACGACGAAGCAAACATGCAGACTGAGACCAATGAAGTGAATAAAAAATGGCACTGCAAACTAATGTTGTCATATGGTGAGTTTTTGTTCGTATTGTGGAGCAAAAATATGTTCTAATTTCATGTCGTATCCTGTAAATTTGGTATGCTGGGGTGTTCGTATCCTGAGGTACCACCGTAGTAATTTTTGTAATATTTCTACAATATTGCAAGTTTTATCTTTAACTTTACACAGGTAACGCCTTTTACCCCACTTTAATAGCATTTATTTTATTTATATTCTTAATTCATTTTAGTTTCACTCATTTTCATTTTCTTGTTTTGGCTTTAATTCTATACCTTTTATCCAGGAGTCGCAAGTAATTTTTCTCACATAGAGGTTTTGCATGTATGTGATATATACACATATAAATGTAGTTAAACACTGTATAAATGTTAAGTTTAATGTACTTTATGTTGCAGAATTTATAACTGTACAAATAAGGACTGAAGAGGAACAAATAGCCTGAAATGCATTTCCACCAGTTTGTATAGAAATAATGTGTCTTAAATAATAAAGTATTCTCTTTGCCACACATTCCCTGTATAAGTTTGACACAGGAATTTTAAATTTTGTGTTTTTTCCCAATGAACATAAAGAACATGAAGCAATCAAGTATTAAATCATACAAGCAGTTTATAGTTATAATCTAATGATTATACAGTATTTTAAAACATGTAAAGTCATAATAAATATCATTTGATGTTAGTCATTATAAAAGTACTGATATTATTTATCATCAATAGATCAAGTGGATCCAATTATTCTGTGTATATATATATATAATATATAAATCAATTTAGAATACTTTTAATTTTGTTTTTCAGAAATATATATATATATTACTGAAAAACTAGCATGTAATTAAAAAGTAATTTTTCATCATTAAATATGATGATTATTATTAAAATATTTTTTACTAAGTATCATTCTTTTTTTTCCTATATAAGCTACAAACAAAATTAGAAGTATTCTAAACTGATTTATATTATGTACAGTGCACACATATTTATATTGATATATGAAATTTCTGTGTAAAAGTATGTAACTTTTAAATGTATTTGCAATATCAAGTAGTCATTTGTTTAAAACAATGAGACATTTTAATGAATCAGTTACTATTATGAATACAAGAATTTTTAAACATGAATTGTAAAAATATGATTTTGTTACAATGGTGATAAACATTTTAAAAATTACATTCATATTAAAATTTTTACCTCTGCTAGTTTACAGGAGTAACAAAAATTATGCTCATATAAATATTTAAAATTATATATTCAGGATTAAGTCATATACAACTTTGCAAAATAATACGTTCTTGATGATTTTTCTTCATGAATTATTATACAAAATAGGAAAATTTTCTTAATTACAAAAACACTTTAGTTTTAAAGAAAATATGTACATTTGATAGAAATGTAAATATTACAGGATGCTAAATGGAATTTTTACTAAATTTTATATGTTATATTTTCCATTTATGTGATTCAGTCTTAATTTTTGTAGTTCATGAGTTCATGTTTAACTTCTTTATACTGCCAACTGAATACTGTCTTCAAATTGTCAGATTTTTATTTTGCAGAAATTTCTTTTAGCAACCTAAAACAAAAACAAAATGTAATTATTATAATTTCACATCATGATTTAAAAGAATACCTTTAATGTCATTAATCTAACAATTAATTAAAAGGAATATATATCTTATTACTGTGCATATAAGAACATGTTCTTATAGATGGGCCAAAATACTATATTCAGCAAAGAATCTAAATTCTTAGTATTTTAAAAAATCTTTTATATAGTGTTGGAAGCATTTTTTATTTGTTTAGTTTTAGTAATGGTTAACACAGACATTTACTCATACATTTAACTTACATTGACATAGCAATGAATTACTGTTATAAGCAAAAACAAGCTTGAGACATAACAGCATGTTCTTATTTGTGTGGAAATATGGTAATATTCCATATACTCGTATATATAAAATACAAGTCATATACTACATATATGATATATATCTGTATGTATAGGAAACATTTAGTATTTATCAAATACTAGAAATTAGTTTAAACAGAAAAAGTTCATTAGATATCAGCAGTAGTTCACAACTTCAATGATTCCAAATGGAATGCAAGAGCTTTAGGATCTTCAAAACATTGAATTTTGATATACAATATGAAGTTTTTATGAAAATTATTTGAAAACTTCAAATTTAGGCATTATAAATAAAAACCAGTTCAAATAATTATCTTTTAGTTTATTTTTTTTTTCTTTTTGTAAGTTAGTTCTTACTACAATATTTAAAATAATAATTTTAAAAAAGATTTTTGTAATTTTTTAATGTAAAATATTTTAAAAGTATTGCACTTAAAATAATAATTTTTAAATAAAAATCTTTGAAAAACAAAGATAATCTAAACATTTATATTCCTTTAGAAAATGACATCTAAAATTCTTTTTGTATATCCATAACTTACTTGTTTAGATAAAAACTAATGATAGATCTTTTTTCAAGAAATTTGAAAAAAAAGGAAGTTTAATTTTAAAATCAATTAAAATTTTTAGAAAATAGCAACTAATTGAACCTTAAAAGAAATTCCAGGATAATTAATTGCAAATTTGTTAATTATCCTGTAATTTCTTTTAAGGTTCAATTAGTTGCTATTTCGTATAATATATTCCAGGCTTGCAGAGTTTGAGCTAAAATTCTTAGACTAAAAATGTTATTCTAGATCTAAAATACTAGAATTAGGATTTAAATTAAATAAGTTAAATCCTGAAGTGTTTATCATTGTGTGTTAAAAGAAATTTGTTATATCTTGTTAATTTAATCTGTTTTAATTTTGGTTTTTATCCTGAAAATGAGAAATTCAAGTACTTAAATATTGTTTCTAGATAGCTGTAAAAATACTCTTTCATATTAGATATTTACTATAGATATATAACTATTTAATTTTAAAAAATATGTAAAATATTTTGAAAAAATTCTCCTCCAACAGAAAAATAATAATCCAATTGGAATAGTTCTATTACATTTTAATTACACAAAATGCATAAAACAACTGCATTTAGCATTATAGTAGATCACTGTGTTTACAACCTAATTGGTTCCTGGAAAACCACTGTTAAATGAGCTTGAACTATGATCTTTTAAAGGTTGTGTTGTAAACTGAACTCCTCAGAAATGCAATTTGGACAATAAAATACCATGCCTAGATGGGGAAAAACTATGGCACTAAAATATAACCTTTCAGAAATCGCAATAGAAAACTTATAGTTACTTTAGTTGTAAAAACAGAAGGTTATAAAGTGAGTAGTTGTAAAGCTGGAAGTCTGCTGTACAAATACTTTTTAAACAGATAAAAAGTGTTCCTTAAGTCTAATATCTAAATTTCTTCTTGTGACCCGAATATAGTCCTTCTTAATTCCTAATTGCTGATTTTCAAATGGAATTCTGTATACGCCCACTTTTTCTTCTTTCTTAAGCATGTCTTTATCGTTTCTGAGTTAAAATCAGGAATTAGGAAGGACTATATTCAGGTCACAAGAAGGAATTTAGGTATTAGACTTAAGGAACACAAGTGTGACATTAATAAAGGCACTGCAACACAGTGTGGTGTTCTGAGTGAGAGGTACATGATCCCGCGAGCAAAATGGTACCAAAAAAAAAAAAAGAATCTTAACACAAAGTATTATTTTTCTCACTGAACAGGTTCGTTTATTGGATCCCAACTTTACAATTTTCCGAATTTTATACATATACAGGCGCTCAATGGTACACCTCAAAAACAGTTATCTTGCACCCACGCGACAATCTGACGAGGACCGTAATTACTTACACTAACTTATAACTAAAGATGGAAGAATAGAGGATATAGAGATAGACAAGGAAAGAAGTAGAAATACCCGGGTTTCTTGCGATGAGCCCTTGGTTGGAGAACACTTCGGACTAAGAGGCCTTCCCTCGATGATCTCTCTCTGCACTTTTTTGGTCTTAGGTCACTTCTTACTTATAGACCTTTCGTCTACAGTCTTTTTCTTTCGGATTGAGTCGTCTTCCCCAGAGGATCTCTCTCTGTACTTTCTCATCTTCGATCACCTCTCACTTGTAGACTTTTCGTCTACAGTCCTCTTTTTTTTCGGACTGCTTCGTCTCAGATCACTTCTTACTTGTAGGAGCACCTCTATGTTACCTCCTACCTACTCGAGATCTCCACTCCATCTCGTACCCTTTTTCTCCGTTTTGCTTCCGGGCCTCACTTTTCCTTTGTTCTTTATTTCTACGAAGAGGGTAATCCTCCCCCCAAGGGCAAAACGGGTTTAGACAAAGAAAGTTCTAGAAGGATTTAGACAAAGAAATATAGCATAATTGTGAACCAAACAGAAAATTAAAATATTTGCTGACATTTCTACTGAAACTAGTTTTAATGTCAAATAGAACAAATTTTACTTCCTGACTTGTTATTTATAACACTTCTTGGGAAAGTATTAAAATTGTGTCAAATTTGAATTACAGGTATTTTTTGCAAATCTCAATGTTTTGAGACTCCCTAAACCCAAAAAATCAATAACTAGGAAAAATTCTGTGGATGTGTGCAAGTGCATTTTGGTATCTATTTCATTTAATAACTCAGGATGGGGTAAAGATTAAACAAAATTTGGCATGGTAACTTATATTTAAGGGGCATTGATGCTATTAAATTTTGGTGGTTAATGTTTGAGGGAGTGGGCAGGTAGAGGAGTCACGTGTCATATTTCAGGTGGATTTGGATTTAATGATATCTTCATTGTACTGCAATTTGAAAAAAATTATAGACCTATAAATTCCCCTTTCATCCATTTGTCTTTCCTTAATCTTGAGAACAAAATTAGAAAGATACAATCTGAGATCAGATACAAAACCCTTACGGGTAGGAGGTCCCAATTACCATATATCTGTGCAGATAAGACGAGGTATAAATTTTCGTTGAAGTTTTAGCATGTATCTGTCCTATAAGACGACCCCCGAACTATCAACTACCTATGAATTTAATTTAGATCAGCAATCATCATCTGAATAATAATAATGTATAGCATACACGGAATTATGTCCAATTCATAATTTTTCGAATGAACAAATTTTATTTTCTTGCATCTGGCAGCATGCCTTGCTATTGTTGCAAACATTTGCACTGATTTGGGCATTTGGGTGACCTTGACTATTCACAAAAACATCGTAAGGGCTATTCTATTTTGTGGACATACCCTACTCTCTATTAGTAAATAATTACAGTTTGTCTGCTTTTTATAATGGTTTTAATTTATATAAATTTCATATCTGTCCTATAAGATGACCCCAGATTTTGGAGGCCTTTTTTTATGGTTCAACTATCTATCGTCTTATATAGTTATCGTATATCTGTGCAGATGTGACTTCCAGTTTGCATCGGAAGTTCTTATTATTTCAATTCAAAAAGTTTCCTCTGAAAGCTGTTAGATAAGATGACCAACACAACTCTATTGTTAAAGGAAAAGTATGATGTACAGGGACAAACCACTACTAATTTGAGGTGGAGAAGATATTAGGGTTTGTTGGTTTTTAAAACCCAGTTTTTTGATGAAATTTATATACTCTAAAAACAGAGTTTTTGCAACTAAAAAACCAGTTTTTAAGCCTAGACTTAAACATAAAAACTAATTATTTTATTAAAAACATCAACATTTTGATACAAAATAGTCTCTGGCATAAAATGGGAATATTGTTAAATACAAAGTTTCATAAAAACAAAAAATCTCCCTATGCCTAAAAAATGTCCAATTCTTCCTACAATAGGGAGAAATCTTGCAACAATGGAAAAATGATAGAAAGATTTGTACACTTAAAAAATTCTACAGAAGATGACTGCAATGATGAAAAAGTGGCAAAGAAAATCAAGCCATAGCTTTAAAAAATGCTATGGAAAAATCAATATATAAATATCTTCAAGAACCTGAAGTGACTTCATCCAGTCTTAAAACACTAAAAAAAAAGAGTTTTTAGTATTAGAGGTTACAAACAGAAGAACGAACAACTTAGATTTATTATTTAATGCTTTAAAGGTGATTAAAAATCTCTCACTTGCTATTGAGCTGGGTTTTTCTATTTCTGGCAATTTTGTGTGCAAAATAAGGACACAGTTGAGCAATAGATCTATAGATGTTCTTTGCTTTCTAAAATCATATTTTCTTAGAAAAATAAGTAAGAAATAAAATAATATTTTGTAGGCATTCATTACTGTTTGTTTTTCTTTATGGTTTTCTATGGAGTAAATTTTATAGTTTAATGTGATAATCTACCATTTTCTTTTTTTGTTTTGTGTAGATGTCGGTCAATTTTTTGTTATATTTTTGAAATTTTATAAATAGTAAATAAATTAAAAAGTTTTAAAATAAGTTGTAAATATCCCTTATCTCCATTTTTTGGGGGTGAAAGAAAATTTTAATTTAGTGTCATGATGTTTTTTAAATTTAAATCTTATTCAATCCTACCTATGTATTAGCACTTGCCATGCTTTATTTGAATGTAGTTTTATAAGCTGATGATGATCTGTAGAGAGACTGAAAATGTTTATACTAATAAAAAATATTTGGCTCTGAACTAAGAGGTTTTGATGTATATTCTACATACAATGGAGCCAATATAGTCTGAATTAGTATAACTGGTAATTGTAGTTAGATCACATATTAATAGCTTTGAAATAATTTATGAACTAATTAATTGTCAAATATGATATTGAAACTATTTCCTAAAATTTATCATCTTGTAAGTGAAATATAAATATTTTTACTGATAAACAGTTTAAGTTTACTATATACTGTACTTTATAAACGACAGTTGATATCTTAGAATTTATATTCAATTTACATTGTTACTCCTTCAAAAATAAAAACTGAAATCTTATTTTCTGTTAATTTTATGTAAGTGTGTTCTTCATTTATGAACAGTATTTGTTTGGAAGTGTTGAGAGCTTTTATTTATCATATTTTGCTGTGTATAATGCACACTTTTTTGCCGAAATTTGTGAGGGAAAAATAAGAATTCACATTGTACATGATCAATACTAATTGTATATCTACATAAATGTTTTTAATTCTTTTATTTATGCTTATGAGTTAAAAAAGTAACTCCAGAAATCAATAAGATATCTGTATGCAAAATAATATCCTGAAATATACAATAATCAGTTTTGTTGAACTTGCAACAAAAACAATTTCGACGAACAATTCAACAAACCAGTACATAAAATTTCTTTATACATGTTAAGAAACAAGTGCTAAAATTCCTTCATAATATTTAAAAAAAAAGTACATTATTATAAATTAATAGTTTGAATTGAAAAATTAAAGATTTTTTTCCTGAAAATTTGGGGCAAACATGAATGTACATTACATGGAAACTCTTAATAATCAAATTGTCAACCTAGAAATCTTAGTGTGTGTTCATCCTTCTTGACTTAGAAGACAATAGAAAAATCTTAAAATTTAATAAGAAAAATCTAATATACATGACTATTGACCGTATTCATCACGCCAGATGGCAGCACCAGCATAAAAACATCCTGGACCATTGATACTTCCGGTTCGCTCTGTTTCCTTGCATGCACAAGTAAACAATATCTGTTCCGAACTCTTCTTGCAAACGTAATATTTTATAATCTGCGCTGAAATGACATCAAGTGGTACATGTTGTGTAGCAGTAGGCTGCAGCATGTGGTCTGGGACGAATTTATTATCCAAAATTAAGATGTTTCGCTTCCCAAAACAAGAACCTCAGCGCGGAGCTTGGGTGTCAGCCATCGCTCGAAAAAACTGGCAACCTTCAACTTCAAGTAGGCTGTGTTCGCGGCATTTCATTTCAGGTATGCAAGAATTCGTTTAAAAGCATATGAAGATTGTTACGAACTTCACAATTAGCGATCGTTTAATTTAAACATAAACATTTGCTTTTACTGTGTTTACAGGCGCTCCTTCATCAGAGCAGAATAACCCTGACTGGGCTCCTACATTATTTCTACCAAATACGATATGTAACGAGAAGCAAATTCATCAAAAAGTTGCAAGGTTCGAACGATTAAAAAAAAGAAGAAAAATAATTGCTTCAGGTATGTTTAATGTTGACATTGGATAAAAATTTTGTTCTTACCAGTAGATAAAGCATTTATGAATTTATGTTAATCAAGGCTCAACTTTTTAGTACCATTCTCAAAGCCAGGAAGTTAGTAACTTCCACAACTAGTTTATTAATTTGGTAATTAGAGCATGGTTAATGAATCAGATATTTTAAAAACTTACTAGCATTTTAATGGCAAAAAATGTTAAAGTATTAAAAGAGGATTAAAATGTTACTTGTCTTCTGGAAATCATACTGAAGTCAATGTAATATAACACAATGAAGACAAAATTAATTTTATTTTGTATATGTGAGCAAGTAGAACAAGTGTTAATTTCAGCTGTTGCTTAACTTCTGTATGTCAACAACTGTGCACTTCAACTAGTATAAATTTAGCTCTGATACTAGTTTGAATAGTATTGTAATTAGCATAAATTTAATTTTANGGTGGAGCCCACATACAGAAGGTTTTTATCACATCTGCGATCTATAATCGGTATGCTGTAGACCCCTGACAGCTTATCCTTGTCCGGTTGATCTTTTCCGTTGGTTAGGATGTTGAAGATCGAAGCGCATCTTCTGTATGCTATACGTATGTGGTTCTTTTTAGCTATTTCTCCATATATTCTTCCAATATACGGATTATAAGTGACCGGAATGATCTTATCCATATCTTGTCGTTCTTCTCTTAGCGGAAGGTCTTGAGTTGTGTTTTGATACTCATGCCATAACTTGCTTACGAGTCTGCCGTATCCGTGTTCATCGGCTATTCTTTGTATACATCCTAGCTCTGATTGTAGGGCTGGCTCGGTAGAAGAGTGTGTGTGTGCTCTCTTAATTAGAGCCTTAAATGGTGCCACTTTATATTGCGGTGGGTCACATGACCCTACTGGTATGTATATACCTTTTGTTCCTAGCTTACGGTATACTGCCGTTTGAATTACCGACTCTTCTACCTTGATATCAATATCCAGGAAGTGTATATTCGTTTGGTGCGCTTGTTCTATTTCTAAGGTTAATCCATATGTGTTATTATTCATTGTGTCGACGAACGCCTTTATGTCCGGTATTTCTTTCCATAATATGATAATATCGTCAACATATCTCTTGTATAAAATGATGTTGTGAAGGTGGTGTGGTAGGACCTTAGCTTCGAGTAGTCTAACCACCATCTCGCATAAGTCCCCAGAGATCGGACTACCCATAGGGACTCCTCTTCCTTGCGTGTACACGCTACCTTTGAATTGGAAGAATGAATTGTAACACAATAGATGGGCCATCTCCAGAATTTGCTGGTGTACCGTATTATTGTTGATGATAGATAATAGTAAATCTCTGATGGTGCAAAAGGCAGGCGGGAGAAGGATTGATGGAAACAGCGACTTGAAATCCAATACTGTGAGAAATTTTGGTGTTACGGGTAAGGGTTCGAAAACGTTAGTTTTGATTCGTTTTGGATCGTTAAGAGTTAGACACACCGGTAACAGGTTAGAAAGAGGTAATTATATTACTATTCTCCGGTGTTGTGGTAAAGATGAGTAGTCAATTAGCGATGCCGGCTATTTTGTATATGTGAGCAAGTAGAACAAGTGTTAATTTCAGCTGTTGCTTAACTTCTGTATGTCAACAACTGTGCACTTCAACTAGTATAAATTTAGCTCTGATACTAGTTTGAATAGTATTGTAATTAGCATAAATTTAATTATACGAGATGTTTTTTCATTTTTTTACAGACACTTCTAATGACAACCATGAAATTGCTGCAGTGGTTGAATCAGTGCAATCTCAAGAATGTGCTGTTGAACAAATTACAATACCAAAGCAATTATACTGTGAGTGAGTTGGTAGAGAAAAATGAACAGCTTCAACAAGAAAATGCTGAGTTGCAGTTGAAGTTGGACACCCAGACGTTACGAGCAAACTACTTTCAGAAGACAGTGACTATGAGTGATACAGATTTTATTTTAAAAGATGATAAGCTGTTAAATTTTTATTCAGGAATAAATGGTGTTGACATTTTTAAGTGTGTCACTGCTTATTTGAAACGTTTCTGGAAACCAACTTTATCAACCCACTTGAGTTTATCTGAGCAGTTTTTGTTAGTTCTAATGAAGTTGAAATTAGGAACATTGAATGAAGACCTTGCCGTACGGTTTCAAATACCATCTTCAATGGTCAGCAAAATCTTTCATGAATGGTTGGAAGTTTTGCATTATAGTTGAAAAATTTTTGATTAAGTGGCCTTCCAGACAAGAAATCAAAAAGTACTTGCCTTCTTGCTACAAGCATCCAGACTTTGAAGGGATAAGATGTATTATTGACTGTAGTGAAGTTTTTATTGAAAAGCCCAGTAATTTGCTGGCCAGGTGTCAGACTTACTCCAACTACAAGAGCAACAATACCATTAAATTTTTGGTTGCCATAGCTTCTAATGGTTGTGTGAGTTTTGTATCTAAGGCATGGGGAGGTAGAGTCAGCGACAAGGTTCTTACCAAAGAAAGTGGTCTACTTGATTTACTAGATAGGGGCGATACAGTGTTAGCTGACCGAGGTTTTCAAATAACAGAT